ACAATTAGCCACATTGTGGAGCGTTCACTGGAGTAGGTAATGCTGGAATTGAACCAGATTGGAATTGGATCATGAATTTCTGTCCTTGATGTTGAATTTGAGGTACTTTTGCCAAATCCAAAGTGGAGATATAGCAGAAACATTGGGTGAAATGGAATGGAGTTCCGAGAACTGGGGATGAAAAGTTGGGAATAATCATTGTTTACATGGCAATGAAAGCTGTGGTCTTGCATGATATTTTAGGGAAGAAAGTATATAATGATAAAAGAAATGCCAAATGACCTTCTCTCACTCAACCAACGAGGGAAAGGTCAGCCTGAAAGTAAAACTGAGAAGAGACCAGAAAGGTAAAAGAAGACCCAGGCGAAGTGTGTCATTCTGAGTGCCAAGGGGAGAGACTGTAACGGTGCAGTAGTCCTCCTTTCCTGCAAAATATTATTCAGTTCCATAGGTTGAGCATGAAACACCGATCATTGTACTTGGCAACTGTGCAGGGTTATGATTGTCCCCAATTCTTTACTGCTCTTAGTACCCATGCCCTTTGCCATGTCGTTATGCAGTCCCACTAGAGGTGAAATAAACTATTGGGAATGGCCATCTGACTTCCTTTGGCCAGTAAAATGTGAGGGGAAGTAATAAGTTGATAATTCCAAGCCTAGACCATAAGAGACATCTGATCCCTGCCCCAAATGAGAGACAATGGAGTAGGCCTGATCCAAACAAATGACCTGAATTTAATCCCAAACTCACCCTTGTCAGCTGAACCCCAGTTGACCTGCAGACATGTGGTCAAGAAATAAATGTTTTTGCTGTAAGCCACTGAGCTACATAGCACGGTTGTGGAAATAGCTGACTGATATTGCTACATTGACCATTGGTGACCTTATTGGCAGTTGTTTGGAACACTAATAGAGGTAGAATCTTTATTAATTTGGAGGGTGCTACAGAGTAAGAGAGCCCTGGGGAAATAACATTAAGTACAGACAACTCAAGAGGTTTGGCTGTGATGGAGAGGAAGAAAGGGGAGACAATAGCCAGAAGGGGACCAGGAAAAGGCTGTTTGGCATTGTTTGTTTGTTTGTAATGGGAGAGAGTAGAATATCTTTAAATGGTAGGAAGTTAAAACTAATTGGGAGGAAGTGGTTGATTATAGAAAACAAAAGGAGAGGTGATAGTGTGTCTCCTGAGATACTAAGAGGGGATGATATTTAAATACAGGTAGAGGGATTGGCCTTGGAGGAATGAGGAGAAAGGGTGCCAAGTTTAATATAGTCAAAAAGAATTGATAAGAATGGGAGGAGTTTGGGGTAGACTTGCAAATCTGGTGGGGAGAATTTGAGGATATCCCATCTAATTGCTTTAAGTGGTTCACTACTTTTCTTTGAAGGAGGAAGCGATAATGTCCAGTTAACGTTAGGCTACAAACCACATCTGACCACTTCCCAAATAATATGAATGATAAATAAGAATACATTGCTTGTATTGCTCCTACAGATGAATGCTTTTCAAAGGCTATAGCTCATGGTTTGGTTTTGGGGAACTGCAAGATCTGAATGTGGACAACTATAGAACATTGCTGAGAGAAATTAGAGAAGTCTTACATGAATGGAGAGATATATTATATTCATGACTGGAAGACTCAGTATTATTAAGATGCCAATTCTTCCCAAATTGACCTATAGAGTCAACACAACCCCAATCAAAATCATTTTTGAGAGTAGAAATTGATACAGTGATTCAAAAATTCATATGGAAAAGCAAAGAACGTAGGTACAAAACAATTTTGAAAAAGAACAAAGTTAGAAGACTCCTGCTGTAAGAGATGTATAAGGCAAGGTATGGGGGAGGAGAGTACATTGCTCCCATGCCTGCTCCAGATGCACCCTCCCAGCACCTCGATTTGTCCACCAGCCCAGAAGTTCTCCAAACCCAATTGTTTAGGAATTTTTAAAAGAGGTTCCATTATGTAGGAATGGTGATTAAATCATTGGTGATTGAACTGCAGCCTCTCTGCCCTTCGTGGAGGTTCAGGGGTGGGGCTGAATATGGTTGGTTCGTCTGGAAACCAGACCCCATCCTGAAGCTGTCTAGGGGTATGCCAAGTCACCTCACTAGCATAAACTCAGGCAAGTTTGAAAGGGCCTCACTGTGAATAACAAAAAACACTCCAATGAGCCAGGAAATGCCGAAGGTTTTTGGACCTCTATGCCTGGAACCAGGGACAAAGACCAAATATATATATTTTTAGTATACCACAGTTTATTAAACACAGATTGCTGAGCCCAAGCCCTGAGTTTCTGACTTAGTAGGTCTGGGGAGGGGCGGAGAATGTGTATTTTAACAAGTTCCCAGATGCTGCTGATGGTGCTCCTGGAGAATGTCCTTCTGTCCTTGAGGGTCACAATAGTATAATTTGTCTTTCAGTTGTTACCCTTCTGACTTACGAACTTCCTTTCTTTCTGTTGACTAGCACATTCATTCTGTTCAAAAGTACCACCAAACTTTACTTCAGAGCAAGAAAGCCCAGGATCTAGACCAATCCTCACATGGCACATCTCAGTGAAGGGAAGAATTGTAAAAAGGAAGGTGATGGGAAAGCAAACCACACCCTGTTTTGCTTTTCCCCTTCAATTCTATTTCACTTTGGTTTTGATTCATGTGTATATATCTGTATGTATGTAGCCATAAATTTCCTAAAATCTGCCTTCCTGTTTCACCATTCTCCCTATCTAGATCCAACCCACTCAGATCACCTACAATCACTTTTCTTCAGACACTCCATTAACTGCTTAGTAAGTCACCCTGCATCTAACTATGGGTTAAGATTCCTGTTCTAAATCAGGCTGAATACCCCCAAATCTACTGTGGCTTTTGAGGAATGGGTGCATGTGTGGTAAGAAAAGCAAGTTTAGAAGTCCTCACTAGCCTTGCTGTTTGTTTCTCACTCCACATTTGCCCAGTGCCTCCATGCTACCCTGACAGCTGTCCATTCCCCTGGGCATTGGACTGCACTCAATGGATGTCTCTACCCAGGGAAGCCTGAGTGTTCTCCAGCTCCCACCCCTGCCCTGGCTTTGAGTGGCCCTGAAAAGGAAGATGGGCCAAGGGGCTGAGGTAGGAAATGCTTTTAGGGATAAGAAAAATGTAGGCAGTGTAGTGTTATGATTAAACGTATTCACTTAGGAATCAGGTGGCCCTGGGGTTGGAGTTTGTTTTTGCCTCTTATTAGTTATGTGATTTGGAGCAAGTGAATGTCTATTTGCCTCTATTTCTGTTTCTGTGCAATGGAGCTGATGACAGCTATCTCATACAGAGTTAGTATAATGTAGTAGTTTGAAACATAGATTCTGGTGCCAGACTGCCTGGGTTCAAGTTTTGGCTTGCTGTTGAGTAGCCATAAGGCCTATGAGTAAGTTACTTAACCTCTTTGTGTCTCAGCTTCGACATCTGTAAAATCCCAGTGATAACAGTACCACATACAAAATGATAGCATTTCTTATTTGAGGCTCTTGGGATTTGTCTAGCTACTTTTCTCCAAGAAGACCAAAATCAAACTAAAGAATGGAATGATTCCTAATCCCTAAATATTGAAGTCTGAAAAATGCTAGAATGCAGGATTTTGTTGACATTTTACAATCCCTTTATGAGTGTGTGTTTGTGATAAAGAAACGTTGAACTGTAGACAACAGAAAATCTAGTAGAGACTGGGGCAAAAGTAGGTTTACAGTTGTGAGTATGCAAAACACAGTTGTGCTTGTATTATTTATTAACTAGAGGCCCAGTGCACGAAATTCGTGCATGGGAAGGGTCCCTAGGCCTGGCTGGTGATCAGAGCCTATCTGTGGGGCTGCCGGTGGGACGATTGGGGGCCCCCTGCTGGCACCCACCTTGGCTGGCCTGGGGCCTGTGGGCTGGGGGCAGCTCCTGAGTTGAGTGTCTGCCCCCTGGTGGTCAGTGCGCGTCATAGTAACTGGTCATTCAATTTGCATATTAAGTTTTTATTATATAGGATTATTATAATACTAGAGGCCCAGCACTCGAAATCACATGAGACCCAGACCTGCCGCTCCAGCAGGACCCCAGACCCACTATGCATGAGTAGCTCGCCGCCTCGAGCCACCATGCCGCTCGAGCCCTGCCTCGCCCCGTGAGCCGTGAGCTCCTCCATGCCACGCGAGCCACAAGCCCTGCTGTGCTGCGCAAGCCACGAGCCCCACACGAGCCCCTCCTCGCCATGTGAGCCCTGCCTCGCAGCTGAGAGTGGCTCGCTGGTTGGGGGGAGGGACTGAGAGGTGCTCCATGCACCTCCTAGTGACTGGTCATTTGGTCGTTCCAGCGTTCCGGCCACTGGCCTTTTATAATATAGATTTTCTATATGAACAACTATAAATCTACTTTTGCCCCACCCTGTACTTATAGGTGCTTTTTACTTCCCCTACCCCAGAAATTTATTTAAATAAAAAGAGAAAAATGAAAGCAGGAGCCAGATATAACTTGAAACCTGGTTGTGCTGTGAGAAACCCCTCACCCCAAAAGAAGCGGGGAGGAAGAGGGGCACAAACCCAGTAGGACTCAGTGCAGTGGTGGGAGAGCTGGGCTGGAATGAGGGAGAAAGGGGGTGGCAGTGTAAGCATCAGCCACTTTTGTTTGTCAAACACAATGCAAAACTTTTCCAAATGAAACATTGGAGACTTCAAGAATCAATATTATGAGGCAGTGAAAATGGGTTTTAGTAGGAGATTGGACATTTCTGGAGGAAACTGAGTATATCAAGGGAAAGAAGCTCCAGTAATCAAGCATTGTCCCACTGTGTTAATCTCAGGAAAAACTTCACTCACACTTGGCCATGTAATTTAGATAATCTGTAAGAGGTAAGAGGCGTGCAAATAAAAATAAACATGATGAAATCCTACTGCACGTGATGATGATTCAGAGAGTGTCTGAATTTGAGGAAATGCTCTGTTAAGAATGAATTGCTAATAATGAAGTAAAATGTTTGTTCAAGTTTATTGAATAGCATTAGACTAATAAGAAGCATTATAGAATTGAATACCAGAGACCAACAACAACATTTCGGTGCAAAAGATGGGAGTAAAAACATTTGTCAAAGCAAACATATAAAAGAATACATCTAAATATCACCCTATAAATGCCTTTCCAGAATATGCTATGAATTTAGGTCTTGGGGATCTTTGAATGTTACTAGTTTTTATCTGTGATGGTAACTCCTATAAGGGAACTCATTAAAAGTAGGAAAAAGACCCCATTCCTCTTACTAGTGAACTTTTGAATGGAAGCTGTCTACTATGTGGACCCCCTGTCCTTTGCCAGGCTGGTTTTGTGGGTTTCCCAGGCAGCTTTTACAGTCTCTTATGGAAGCCTGCTTTTCCTTGGGCACAAAATGATTGAAAAGCACTCCCTCACTTCAAGCCAGATGTTCAGGTCTGAGGTTTAAATTTCAATTCCTTTATTTTTCTAGGAAAATTTAGCATTCAACAATAGGGATATTAGTAAAAGACACTTAAATGGAACTTTCCTCCCTGATGAGTAAGAATGCAAACTCCATGTATGTCGGCTTCTTTATTCAAAAAGTTTAAGTTTGCCATTTCAGCCTCCAAAGGGTGACTTTTACATGTATTTTCATGCTTGCTTGTATGGGGAAGCTCTTTAAAATAAAAATTTAAAAAAGATTCAACTGATCATAAAACTGAACCCAGAGCAGGAATGAGGAGGGATGCAGGTGTCCTTGCTGGGATATTGGCATCAGGGCTTCTTGTGTTTAGTATGCGGACCCCCTTTCTCTTGGGATCTAAAAGTTGACGAAACAAAAACATAAACAAGACAGTCATGTTTAGAGAAAGACCACAAACTGTGGCTTTCCCCTGCAGATATCAAGCAAGGAATATTGTGGATACTGGCTTCCAGTTTAGTTTACTGAACTGCTAGAATGAGTCACCCCAACTCTACCTGGTAAGTAATAATGAAGAATTGACATTTGTCTTAGGAACTTCCCATAAGTTTAAAATGGCACCCAATGCCCAGCTGGTGTAGTTCAGTGATTGAGCGTCCAACCCAGGTTCATGCCAGGAGGTCGTGGTTTGATTCCTGGTCAGGTCACATGCCCAGGTTGTGGGCTCAATCCCCAATGGGAGGTGAACAGGAGGCAGCTGATGAATGATTCTCTCATCACTGATGTTTCTATCTCTCTCTCTCTCCCTTCCTCTTTCTGAAATCAATAAAGACATATTAAAAATAATGTTTAATGGCACCCATTTTGACTGTCCAGGAAAGACAAAGCCTTCAGTGCAAATTAGAATCTGAAAAACCCTTTGTATGCCTGACTTACCTCTGTAAATCTACCAACAGATTTTGTGTCCACTTGGATTTAGGATTCAAGCATAGAACCGACCTATTCTTCAACCAGACTCTGGGAGAAAATAAACGAAAATAAAAGCAAAGCAATGTTACATTTTAGTCAATCCTGCATGTAAGATTTGAATATAAAAATAATTATTCTCAGAGGAAGCAAAATTAGAGGTAGGCATTGGGAGTAGGTGATTTATAGCCTGAGGTCTGAGGAATAAGAAGAACACCACTTGCAGAAGCATATGTTTGAGCTGGTGAAACTGACTTCAAAGCTGACAGAATTTCACAAGTCAGAGGTTAATGTTTTGTTGACAACTTTTATGTGAGTTGGAGATACACCAAAATAGCTGACTCCAAGGTTGGCTCACTCTTAAAGCTGTATCACAGTATCTTTTAAATGTTTTTGGCTATTGCGCTTGGGAGAACAAAATAGACTATAAAGCACACTCTCTTGAGGACCTTTTATTTGAAAAAAAATTTAATGAAGTTGATGTGGGAGAGGTTACAGAGCTGATTGCTCTGAGCGACATCTGCATTTTTGGGTTGAGCTACCAGGTAGTGAGGCTCTCACCGCTCTAAGAAATTAAGTGATAACAAAAGCAGCAACAATAACTAATAGCTGATCTTGAGCAAGCACTGACAATGTGCTAGGCATTATGCTCAGCAGGTAACGTAAAGTATCTCAATTCACCTAACGAAAGTCCTGTGCTGGAGGAACTATTATTTCCTGGCCTTCAGATGAAGAACTTGAGTCTTAGTGAGTATATGATGTAGCTTTCCCAAGATTGCACAATAAACACATGATAGAGCAGGATTCGAATGACGGTTATCTGACTCCAGAATCCACACTTGTCGCCACAGCCTTATACGGGAATAATCAGAATGGTAACCAAGTAGCAGACACACGGCTGCATGTTGACCTGCAGTAGAAGAAGTGAGGCCTTCCAGGTGATAGCCAATTGAGAAAACCTACTCTTTATGGGTGTGACCAAACAAAACAGTTTCTTGAGGTGTCATTTGTGTTAGCTATAAAATGACAAACAGCAAGGACCCGTCTACCTGGCTTTGAATCTCCATCCTTGTTAAGTGAATCATAAGAAGTAAGAGTTCATAGAACAACTGGATTCTTGGACAGAGCCTTCCAATTTGGTTTCTGGGTTCATTATGGAAAACCAGATTTCTGGTCATCTGCACTCACAATATTTTGACCCCCTGAATGGTCTGAATTTCTCATAATAATCTGCATCTTTCGTTTCTATATCTGGTTATAGTTTAGTAATGCAGAATTTGGTGAAAAGATATAAAATTACATTTTTATCACTTCAGAACGATTGAAGTTAAAGCAGAGAAAATTACGGTGCATTACTTTCCCTGACTGTGAGGTGAGGGCCTTGACTCATGGCCAAGGAAATGGAGTAGAAAGAAAGAAGTCTTGGTTTTCTACCCAACCAGAGGAGCTGCTCCCAGATAGGGCCTGGCTAGACTTCATAGCTCTGAATTTGAGGACAATAATTGTGGTTTAGTTAGAGCTTTCATTGGCAAACACCTTAGTGAAAGTATAATGCTTTTTTAATGAAAAAGTTTATACACATTTTTTACATTATGGTGTGGTGTTGTTGTTTTTTTTACAAGTTGAATGTAATTAGTCAGAGGCCTAAAGCATTGATATCAAAATGGGACCAAAAAAGTGAGCTGTTTGCAAACATTTCAAAAGTCTAAAAAGGAGACATATGTACTACTATCTGTAATACTTTAAACAATAAAATTAAATTAAAAAAAGAAGTCTAAAGAAGTCCAAAGAGAGAGCTTCTAATGAAAACGAAGTCATCAAAGCCCTAGAAAGATGCTGTGCCTAATAATTTAAGGTGTTGTGAGTGCTTGGTTCGTTAAAGATAGATCCAGGAAGGCGAAACCAAAGTTCTAAGTGCAGTGGCCCTGAACTAAGTGCTTGGCATGCATTCACTCAGTGATATGCAAAAAGATGTAAGGCTCCATTTAAAATATTCAGTGTAGCCCTAGCCGGTTTGGCTCACTGGATAGAGTGTCGGCCTGCGGACTAAAGGGTCCCAGGTTCGATTCAGGCCAAGGACACATGCCTGGGTTGTGGGCTCAATCCCCAGTGGGGGGCATGCAGGAGGCAGCCAATCAATGATTCTCTCTCATCATTGATGTTTCTATCTCTCTCTCCCTTTCTCTTCCTCTCTGAAATCAATAAAAATATATTTAAAAAAATAAAATAAAATGTTCAATGTAACAATCCAAGATTTGTTGAGCCTCTACTACATACCAGGTAAGGGATAAAGCATTGGGAATAGAGGAATGAATAATATCTGATCCCTGTCTATAAAAAACTTATTTTCTGGCAGGAGTGAAAGAGGGGGTACAAACTTGATTGTCTCAACACAATAAGGGTATAATAATTGCAGTTAACATTAACTGAACATTTACTACTGTGCCAGACACTGTGGCAGGGGCTTTTCATGCAGGGTGCAGTCTCATTTGGTGTGATGTAGAAAATGCTATGGTACAAATAGCCACAGATTTCTCTGGGATTACAGAAAGGGAGGGTCACAGAAGCAAGGGGTCATACCATTTCAATAAAAGAAAATATCTATTAGACTTTTTGCAGCCACTACCATCCCCTTAGCCTAACTCTTTATTCAGAGTGGGATCAAAATTGACAGAACAAAAAACTAAAGGACATTTCCTTAAAGCAGACCTTTAGGCAAGGACTGTTATGGAATCTTCTTTTCTTGCTCTTTGACTCGATGGGAAACAAAAGTTTCTGCTTCTGCTGGCCATTTGAATGTGATGGATTCAAGGAGTTTGGGAATGGGGAAAATGTGAGTAAGGTCCTGGCTTGGTCTCATTAGAATGGTGTGCCCAGGGCAGTTATTTAACCTCCCTAAGACTCCATTTCTGCATCTGCAAAGGAATGATAACAATAGACACACCTTCACAGGACTGAGGGATAAAATGAGTGAATGCATGCCAAGCACTTAGTTCGGGGCATCTGCATGATAAACACTGAACAAATATTGCTGATTCTCATTGTTATTATTATTATTCTCATCATTAGTTTTTGAGACTTGTTAGTGACCCTCAAAGTTAATCACTTTGAGATTCTTGGGTAAGAATACTATGTGGCCTATCATTTGCAACAAATGGATGGACCTAGAGGATATTATGCAAAGTAAAATAAGTCAGACAGAGTAAGGCAAATACCATATAATTTCACTTATATGTGAAATCTAAAAAACAAAGAAAAACCCTGAACAAACAAAACAGAAACAAACTCATAAATACAGAGGACAAACTGATGGTTGCCAGAAGGGAGTGGGGTTTGGGGGACTGAGTGAAAAAGTTGAAGGGATTAAGAAGTACACATCGGCAGGTACAAAATAGGCATGGGGTGTGAAGTACAGCATAGGGAATCTACACTAATAAAAGAGAGATGCAAATTAACCACACCTTCACAACGCCCACCAGCCAATCAGGAGTGAGTATGCAAATTAACGCAACAAAGATGGTGGGTTAATTTGCATGCACAGGCGCTGAGCGGCTGGGGGTGGGGCGGGAAGCTTGCGTAGTTGCCATGGCAATGACACAGGCATTCTGCACCACCCCAGATGCTCCAGGCCTCTGGGCAGAGTGGGAAGGCGAAAAGGCTGCTCCGGGCCAGAGCGAAGGTGGTGACAGCAGCCAGGGGAAGGAAGGCCCATTGTTGCAGGAATCTTCGTGCATTGGGCCTCTAGTATAGTCAATAATATTGTAATAATTATACTTGGTATCAGATGGGTAACTAGACTTATCGGGGAGGTCACTTTGTGAATTATATCAAATGTCTCACCATTATGCTGTATGCCTAAAACTAATATAATATTGAATGTCAGCTATAATTGAAAAATTAAAAAAAATAAAATACTATGTAGAAGATATGATCTGATTTTCACTGGGAGAGAGGAATCTCATATATTTTTTATTGTAACTTACATGACTTCCATGTGTGGGCAACCATCCCCAGGCGCATAGGCTGCAAGCTGGGAAATCATGTTGCGCCTCTTTAGGGATGAAACCGATTTCATGCATCTACACTTAGAGGACGTGTTCAAGGTCTCCAGAACACCTGTGAACACAGAATCAGTTATTTTAATCCCTTTGGCATATAATTCATAACTAGAACTTAAATACTAATCGTTCATATAGTGCAATAGAAGACTTAAAAATGTCAGCTTGGTGCTTCCACCCATGTTCCTTTAGGGTACGTATTTCTGCTTGTCTTGATTTATATTCAAACGTTTCCTACCAAAATCTAAAAAATAAAATTAGTTTTGTAGAAAACACAACACCTACTGAAGTTTGTGACAGAATTATATTGGCACTCAGGTCATGGTCCAAATAATAAAATTTGAGAGCCGCTATAATTGCAACTCAGTTATAATTAATGCAGTAGAAAATCAACTGATCTTCACTCCAAACACATAGCAATAGAGCACAAAAACTCATCGCAGAATCCCTGAAGCAGTAACAAGCTCTCCCTCTTATCAGACTCAGTGCCACCACTTGTCAACCTCTGTTTGAGGAAATACCATGGAAGATATATATATTTTTTTGTTTAATACATTGGTCCTCCGTCTCATCTGCAAATCATTACCAAACAAAAGCCAATAATAAAAATTCAAGGCTATTTTTATCCAACAACAAGTTATTAGTACTAGACAAGTACTATAAGTAACCCATCTCAGGTATTTGAATTCTTCCCTCTTTAATCCCAGTGCCTACCACCATGCTTGACATGGTTTGGTAAATATAAGAGACCCAGCTCTCAAGGTGTTTATAATTTAGTGGAGGAAGCAAATGAGCAAAAACTAAAATACCACAAAATGTTGTATTTCACCCAAGGTCCAAACTGCATAATGGGACCAAAGGGCTTTGCCAGGAGCATTGGAGGAAAGAGATGGGGGTCTTGAATAATGGAAATAACATGTGCTGCACTTTAAGAAAATTTGTCCTCTAAACTGTAGCCAAGTGAATCATTCTGCACATGCATCCGATTCCTTCAGTGTATAAAAAGTGACCACTTCAACTAGATATGTATCTATTTACACAAAGACTGCCTTCCCATTCGTTTTCTTGTTTTTACTTTCTTTCCCAAATTTATTTATTAAGACCGTCTTCCCATTTAGACGTGGAAGTCTGCTTCTTTGCAGAAAGCTTGTACTTAAGTACTCCTGTTGTGTTAATAATGGTTCATGTCAGTGCTAAACGTACAGAATTACATCAGACGTTCCCTGCAGGAGACCAACCAGTTGAGTCAATAATCTTTAAATCCTATCAAGGGTTTGGTCAGCCAGGGTGGCACTGACGGACAGAGCAAAGAAGAGATACATGGAAAGAATTAGTGATAGCAGAGCTGCATCTGAAAAAGGCCAGGAATAGACAAACCAAGTATAAGTCACAGGGACATTGGACATCCATATCCCTCCCTCTATGGCTAAGAATCATAATAATACAACAGCCTCCAAGAGTTGAATTCTTAAGCACCTTACTTTTAGAAATCTAGCAAACAGTGCAGTTTTTTTCCTCAAGTCATATTTCCCCCCATTTTCTAATTGAAAAGTAAAAAAGGAAATGTCTGAAGACCATTTCTGTTCAAAAGACAATGACAAGGTAAGTGAGCGTTCTCACCGTGGGCTGGAGAGAGGCTGCTGACCAGCAGCAGGAGAAGCAGACATCCGGGGATGAACCTCATTCTGCCTGAAGGTGGAGTTCAGACTTCAGCTCTGAGTCTACGCTGTGGGTTCTCAGCACAGAGACTCCTATTTATTTACCCAGTGAGGGCCCTCCCACTGCCTCTGTCTCCTGTAGGTCAGCTGTATCATCATTTTTTTTTAAACACCCAAATATTGCTGAGATTGCTTTTTGTAACTTCTCTTGCAAATTTTATGAATTTGCTTCAAAGCACTATTAGTATAATGAAATGTTTCTTGAAAATGTGGATGGTGAGTGGCAAGGGTGCTGCAGGAATTTGGGGGTGGGAGAGAGGGAAAAGATCAGCTCAGAGGCTCCACAGCACTCTCTCTCTCTGGGATCACTATCAGTGACCCTGGCTGTGAGTGCTTCCCTCCGTGAAGGGCCAGCAGACTTTCTCAAAGGCATTTGAATGAGAGCTCCACGAAACTGGGGGCTCTGCCAGGCACATCATTGCATCCCCAGCACCTGCAAGAGAGTCTATTGCCTTTGGTAGGTGGCCTGTAAGTATTTGCAGATCTAATGAACGTCTCTTTATATCCAGATCCCTGTGCTGACTAGGTTACTGTTTTTCTACCAGACTTTATACCTCTTATTTTACTATCTGCAACATAAGATTACTTATGTCATCTAACTGTTATGGAAATACTGGGAGGGGGGAGTATGTGTCCCTTCATTGGTGTGCTGGTATCTTGATGAAGGGACGGAGGCAATGGCTCTGAGGAATTAAATCTTTCTGGCGCGGGGACACATTTATTGAGCTTAAGAACCAGGTGTCAGTGGAAGGTGTCCTTAGAATTTCATCAGATGCTGAACTCATATTTCAGTGTGTTTAACAACGCATATGTGCACTTTGGTTTTCCTCTGGCCAAATAACCCCTGGGAACAATCAGCCTGCTGCCTTAAGTCACTTCCTAGTAGCTCTTTGACGTTAAAAAAAAAAAGTATGTGGACAATGGCTGGTGTGCCCTAGAGGACCACTGGGCTGCCCTGGGAGTACACAAGTGTGCATATGTGAAACCAGACCCATTGAACCACGGAAAAATCAGAGGTTTGGTCTTCCAGATGTGGCTTTCTTGACAATTTGATTTTTGCTGCTCAATTAGCATTGTGGATGTTTAGCATCCTAGATGTACCAGTTGTCACACAGGGGTTATAGCAATACCATGCAACCTTCTTACAGCAAACCATTCTCTGGCTGGCCTGAATGACTGCAGGGACAGGGGACTCATCGGTCTTCAGGCAGCCCGCTCTATTGTTTGGAAAGGTCTAGTTATTCAAAAGCATATATATATCTTCCCTGATAGTTCAATCACTTTGTCCTAATTAATTAATTAACCCCTTATCACCATATGACAACAATTCTAAATGCTCTTTCATATCATATTTGAAGACATGGTATGTCAGATGTCAGTTGGGTCCCACAGGAAGCAGATGCTGAGCTGAGCATGGATGGTGGAGTAATGGAAGTTTTTGTTTTGTTTTTCAGAATATAATAGATAAAAGGGAAGAGGAGGCAGGACTGGGCAAGGAGAGCCTCAGACTGCAATGCTGATCTATAAAGTCTATGAGAACTCAGTGGGGGACTCCTGAGAGAAGACTGTGTATTAGAGGAGCCCATGATGGGCAGGGATGTCCAGTCCCTACTACCCCTGCGATGCTCAGCCACTGTCTGGGGCTGCCGGGGTTCTTGTTCCAGCATCTAGAAGGGTTCAGCAACCTGGAGAAGGGCTGTGTGTAACTTAATAAAGAGTCCAGAGATGAAGCATAATTTTGAAAGGCATTTGGGGATCAGAGGAGCTTAGCCAAAGAAACTAAGATCTCCTCATCTCAGGACCCCTAGCTTTTTATTAACACAAATTGTCCTAAGGCGAGGTGGAGATATACACTTCAAAGGGTAGGGTTAGGTACAGAATCCATTGTCAGATTGGAAGAATTTGCCTACGGCTGTTCAGGTGTTTGGCCAGTAGGAGGCAATAACATGTAGATTAAAATGCCCTGAGCTGTCAGGCAGCAAGCAATCATCCTTTTCAGGTTTGGGGAAATGCCTTTAGCCATTCCCAACAGGTGACAACATATGTGACTCAGCCCTTGTTGAGTCCCCAAGTTCTATCAACCTTTCTATGAAACTTTTGCAGTTATGACATGCTGGAATTGGCTTCCGGCATGGGGCCTCTTGAAACATCATGGTTTCTGGTAGAACTGCAAGGCAGATTCTGAGGGGCTAACAGCTGGAGGCTGTCAGCTAACTGCACATCTCACAGCTGGCCAACGAGTTATTTCTTTGCGGGAGATCTGAGCAGTGAAACTCTGTGGTTGTCAGATGGGGTTATAAACTCGAGGTTAAGAGCACGAACTATGAGGTCACCAGGTCAATGACTTTGGGCAGGTCACTTAATTTATCTATGGCTCATATTTACCAGTTTCACATGGGAATCATATTAATTTTAAAGGATAGTTTGGGGAATAACATTATTTTGGATATGTACAGTTCTCAGCAGAGAGCCTAGCACATAGAATGAATTCACTAGATGCCTATATGTTCATCCATTCATTATCAATGTCTTACTAGCTTCTACTCTAAAACCCACATGTACACACTTCAAAGGTAAATATCTCTATGTGTTATAAGTGTTGACAGGTTTTTGAGACCTGTTTATCTTTTTCATTGTTTCTCCTAAGTCACAAGTGCCCTTTCTTCTGCCTTCCCATACCTCTGTGACTCATAGGCACACACACACATACACATATACACATACACTGGCATACACACACACGTCTGAATACCATACTATCCCAAGTATGGCTTTGCCAATACAAAGTAGAGGAAGCTGTTACCTTTTTGGCCTTAGGCACTATTGTTCTACTAATGCATTCCTAGACTGAATAACAGTATTCTGGTCACTTATATTGAATTGATAGGCAACAAAAATTTCTATGTCTCTTTCATTGTACTCTTTTGCAATTTGATCTTGGGACCCCAGTGTAGGAGTTTTACATTTATCTCTATTACGTATACTATATATCCCCTTGTTGGAGCAAAAATGAGTGATGCTGACAATAACAGAAAGAGTGTAGGTAGGGGCAAAGGTACCTGAAAAATCTAAAAAATTCCATGATTGACTCTTGTTGAAATAGGACTGCTGGGTCAAGGAGCTAATTCCAGAGCAATTCTAAAATTTTATTTTCTTCTTTTAATTCCCAGAGCTCTGGATTAGTTTATACCGACCAAAGAACCTTATACCTGCCTGCCCCAAGATGGGGTTGGAGGTTGCACAGCTCTCTGGTAACCAGATGATTCTAGAAGTTTCAGGTATGACTCCATAATCTCATGTACATCAGAGGTATACATTTTAAAAGTTTGGAAGGCAAAAAGAAAAATATTTTTAACCAATAGACTTAGGGCCCAAATGGAAACATTTTATTTTTTAAATAGCTTTTAGAAATACTTTTGTTTGCAAACATAAAAATATGTAACTTAATTTGTGTCAAACTGATTATTATGATCAGATATATAAAAACTTAGGGAAAATGAGAAAATTATAGGGAGGGCTTTTTTTCCTGGTTTTGGAATCAAACTAGATGTTCTCTCCAGACCCAAGAAAAACTGGAAAGTTTTGAGGACCTTAGAACTGAAATTGTGGTCCATACAGAAGCACACTCAGCTTCCCCTGGGAGCGTGTTAAAAAGGCAGTATCTCAGGTCCCGCATTTTAGTCGGACTGCTAGGTAATTTGAATGCACCTTGAAGTCTGAGAAGCACTGGGCTAGGGTAGCATGAGCCACACGTGTATTCAAATTGTCTTCAGAGAAATGTTTGCACAAGTCATCTCCTCAGAGTATGGCGCACAGATTTCTTAGTGAGAGCAGACAGGACAAATGTGCTCGCCGACAGCTACATGCAGAGCAGTAACAACAACAAGGAAATTCTCAAGATATCAAAAAGTGAAATGTCGCTCTAATAGAGGGGTGGCTGCACTGCCCCAACCACCTACCAATCTAGCTAGCCGGTAGACATTGGACAGAAGGCCCACGGTAGGGTTTAAAATGATGAAAGAGATAGAATCCTTATAGTTTTATGTATCTGTAATAAAATAAGAAACAAAGCAAATGCCACTGACCAAATTAAGTACATTTTTTTTCATTCCATTTACAAAGCAGCTCAACTAGAAAACAGGAACTTATTCTATTCTGTTAACAACTGTGTTTCACCTGCTGAAAGTCTGACATCTCTTTGCTTCCACATCGCTTTCAGCACGACAGGAAACTATTGTAACCTGGCAGGTAAGAGCTCAGGTTCTGAAGTCAGACTATCTGGGGTGTGTCCCCAAGGCTCCGTTCCTCCTGTGTCAGTGGGGCTTCTGATAGTAATAACTGCTTAGAGCGCTGTGCATGGAACATAACAGAGCCAGGAAAGAGTTCTGCTCAGTGTTCGGGCAAAGAGAAAATACTCAGTATGTGTTAGATTTTTCACTTTTGTAAAAACACAATTATTACTTTATTTTATTTATTTTATTTTATTGTGGCAAGAACACTCACCATGAGCGCTACCCTCTCACACCTTTAAGTGTACCATCCAGTATTGTCGACTGCAGGCACAATGTCGTACCTGGAGCGCTAGACCTTATGTATCTTTTCTAAGAAGCGACTTTGGCTTAGTTGTGATTGCAGCTCCTGGCAGGAGTCGAAATGTCACGTAGGCTGCCATTGGACATTTACGATTCCTTGAGTCTAAAGGTCCTCTGGTCAAACATCTGTTCCTCTGAAACCGATCACCCACACTCTATTTTTATCTACTTTCAATAAACATATTAATCTGCTTTTCCTAAGAAGATGACTGAGTAGGTTTGTGTCAGTTACAAATGTACCGATGTTTTATTGCCATCATTTTCATTTCCACGGAATTGCTTACAGCAGCCTGTTGTTTGCCAGACAATGGTTTCAAGACCCATACCTGTTTTTCAAAAGTAGTTAAATTTCAAGTTTTACTCAAGTTCAACTCAAACACAGTGGATCCCAGACAAACCTGAAGTGTGGC